CTTTTTTTCCCTCATCCTGTTAACACAGAACATAGTATTGCCATTTGGAAGTGTGCAAGTACTTAGCGAGCAAAAAAACATACCATCACTTTGTGGACACTTGCTAGATGCCTGTCAAGCCGGACAAACATCTTGTTGTTGCAACGTGCCTCAGGGCAGGAAAGTGGTCCTGCATATCTAAACAAACATTGTCGGAACATGGTTAGCACAGTACAGTTATCACGAACCTCTGTAGTTTCTCTGAAAATCTTTTACTTACCGTCCAGATTGCATTGAGATGAGGACCCTCCTCTCTACTTTGTCGGTGACACCATGGACATACCAAAGGTGTTCAGAGACATTGGCATAGTTTACCCGGCATGCAGGACATCTCCTCATGTTCACTGCCACATGTCCATAAAATAAAGAACCAAACAACAAACTTATATTGATAATTCATTACGAATCCAGCCTTGTAATCTTTCAAAAACTGGTAATGCTTGCCTTAAACATACAGGTCTGCTTCTATTTTTAACTTTTATTGTAACTGAATAAAGTTGTTGAAATTATTACTTTATAATACTTCAGTAATAAAGTTTAGTAATAAAGTTGTTAAGTTATTCAAATAACAATTAAAACAACTTGACTTTATTAAGTAATAAAAAATATACATTACCAAGAGTCCTTGTCCTTGAAATTACGGCCTTTCTATCTTTTAATGTTGTCTGCTCGTCATCAGTGTTCTGTGAAGATTGGTGTCAAATACTGAGCTTATATAGTACTTGATCTTCTTTTATTGGCCAAGGTAAGGAGTCAGTCGTAAAGGGGGGTGGGGATTCCCAAAATGGGTGGGACTTTTTGTCAACTTTCAGATTGAAAACCTTTTAAACCTGGCCTTTAAAGTGGATTTTAAACATTACAAGTCTGTATCACCTGGGGGTTACCAGGCTCTATCCCACAGCCCCTAAAAAGCCCAAGGCGGTGCTCTGGGGGGGACAAAACTGTCCTTGTTATTATGGCTTCGAAACGTGTATTTATGGACTTTTGTCCACAGACCTCAAGCAGTCTCCAGCAAGCTCCCCATTCGCAGGCTGTGCTCTGGGTCCCCAGACTCTCGCTCAGACCCACTACTCAAGAAAGATGTAACTGTCCTTGTAATTATGGCTTCGAAACTTGTATTTATGGACTTGCTTTTGGTGCTATGGCAGCACCCACCAGGTGGGCACTTTGTGTCCCCAAGCAGTCTCTTGCAAGCTCCCCACGCCCAGGCTGTGCTCTGGGGCCCCAGACTCTCGCTCAGACCCACTACTCAAGAAGGATATAACTGTCCTTGTAATTACGGCTTCGAAACTTGTATTTATGGACTTGCTTTTGGCGCTATGGCAGCACCCACCAGGTGGGCACTTCGTGTCCCCAAGCAGTCTCTTGCAAGCTCCCCATGCCCAGGCTGTGCTCTGGGGCCCCAGACTCTCGCTCAGACCCGCGACTCAAGAAGGATATAACTGTCCTTGTAATAACGGCTTCGAAACTTGTATTTATAGACTCACTTTTGGTGCTATGGCACCACCAGGTGGGCACTTCGTGTCCCCAAGCAGTCTCTTGCAAGCTCCCCACGCCCAGGCTGTGCTCTGGGGCCCCAGACTCTCGCTCAGACCCGCTACTCAAGAAGGATATAACTGTCCTTGTAATAACGGCTTCGAAACTTGTATTTATGGACTCACTTTTGGTGGTATGGCACCACCAGGTGGGCACTTCGTGTCCCCAAGCAGTCTCTTGCAAGCTCCCCATGCCCAGGCTGTGCTCTGGGGCCCCAGACTTTTGCTCAGACCTGCTACTCAAGAAAGGATGTAACTGTCCTTGTAATTACGGCTTCGAAACTTGTATTTATGGACTTGCTTTTGGCACTATGGCAGCACCCACCAGGTGGGCACTTCTCCCCAAGCAGTCTCTTGCAAGCTCCCCATGCCCAGGCTGTGCTCTGGGGCCCCAGACTCTCGCTCAGACCCGCTGCTCAAGAAGGATATAACTGTCCTTGTAATTACGGCTTCGAAACTTGTATTTATGGACTTGCTTTTGGCGCTATGGCAGCACCCACCAGGTGGGCGCTTCGTGTCCCTAAGCAGTCTCTTGCAAGCTCCCCATGCCCAGGCTGTGCTCTGGGGCCCCAGACTCTCGCTCAGACCCGCGACTCAAGAAGGATATAACTGTCCTTGTAATAACGGCTTCGAAACTTGTATTTATAGACTCACTTTTGGTGCTATGGCACCACCAGGTGGGCACTTCGTGTCCCCAAGCAGTCTCTTGCAAGCTCCCCACGCCCAGGCTGTGCTCTGGGGCCCCAGACTCTCGCTCAGACCCGCTACTCAAGAAGGATATAACTGTCCTTGTAATAACGGCTTCGAAACTTGTATTTATGGACTCACTTTTGGTGGTATGGCACCACCAGGTGGGCACTTCGTGTCCCCAAGCAGTCTCTTGCAAGCTCCCCATGCCCAGGCTGTGCTCTGGGGCCCCAGACTTTTGCTCAGACCTGCTACTCAAGAAAGGATGTAACTGTCCTTGTAATTACGGCTTCGAAACTTGTATTTATGGACTTGCTTTTGGCACTATGGCAGCACCCACCAGGTGGGCACTTCTCCCCAAGCAGTCTCTTGCAAGCTCCCCATGCCCAGGCTGTGCTCTGGGGCCCCAGACTCTCGCTCAGACCCGCTGCTCAAGAAGGATATAACTGTCCTTGTAATCACGGCTTCGAAACTTGTATTTATGGACTCGCTTTTGGCGCTATGGCAGCACCCACCAGGTGGGCGCTTCGTGTCCCTAAGCAGTCTCTTGCAAGCTCCCCATGCCCAGGCTGTGCTCTGGGGCCCCAGACTCTCGCTCAGACATGCTACTCAAGAAGGATGTAACTGTCCTTGTAATTACGGCTTCGAAACTTGTATTTATGGACTCCCTTTTGGTGCTATAGCACCACCTGGTGGCCACTTAGTGAACTTAACCCATTCCTAGCGTCTAACTCGGGCCATATTTGCAAGATCTTGAAATTCGGGACTCACCAATTCAAGTGAATGGGAAAAGTCGTTAAATCCTAAGATTGCGATGGCCCACAAAGTGTCGCACTTGCAAACATGAATGGGGAGGATAGAAACTAAATGGCTGCTGTGGCTTTTAGGAATGACATAGAAAGATCAAACCAAAACTGGCTTGTTCGTCTCATCAAGACCTACAAATAACGCGCTTGCACCCCTGACCTAACCCCAACAGGAAATGAGCTGTTTGCCCTTTCAAAGTAAGATTTCGCCTCAAAATTGCTTTTTCTTCAAAATCCTTAAAAAAACAAATCCTCCTACACCGTTTATCATATTGGATTCAAACTCGCAACCCTGACAGATCAACCCCCGGGAAACAAATCATCTGTACAACTTTTTCATTACTCGAACGGTTTGGATTTTATGGCCTTTCAAAGGTGACATGTTACAAAACCTCATGACGATTTTTGTGCCACCTACACACACTAAAATGCCCGCTGCGACCAGTAGGAATCCTGTAGAAAGACCAAACCAAAACTAGCTTGTTCGTCTCATCAAGACCTACAAATCATGTGCTCGCACCACTGACTAAATCCAACAAGAAGTGCGCTATTGCCCTTTCAATGTAAGACGACGTTTTTCACAAATTCTCTCTCTCAAAAAATATTTGCTCCTACACCGTTTATCATAACTGCTTCAAACTTGCACACATGACAGCTCTACCCCTGGTGAACATTACTTGTGAAGGACTTTGTCATTACTCAAACAGATTGGATTTTATAATTGTCAAAGTTGTAGGACACAAAGACTCATGACGATCTTCGGAAGAAAAGATGAGGGCTAACATATCTAAAACTTGCAACTAAGGTCGCATTTTTGACTCCACACACATAAAAGCTATATATCTCTGCATTCACAACAAGTTTATCTATGTAGTGATGCCTTCAGATTGAAGATCGGACCCATGGTTTGGGATCTGGAAGGAGTAGTTCGAGAAACTTTCAACCCATTTTGTTGTCATCCTGTCTCTCTGTCAGCTGCATGCTGTCATTAATTAGCATAACAAAAGCTTCACTCTGACAGACACAAGCCTGTGTGTGTGTGTGTGTGTGGTCACACACACCTGACAGGATAACATAGACCAAATTGACCAGCTCATGTGTCTCATTCCTACAATTTCCTAAATGAATGCCTGATAGCAAAAACATGTAAATACGAGATCTCGAGGTCAAACTCTTTTGCCTAACCCCTAACCCTAACCCACACATCCACATCAACACTAACATAGCATTTATTTTATTTTCTTTGCAACAATGGCTTGCAAACCTCAATAATGGACAAGTAGGAGAAAAATACGGGTAATTTTACTGCTTATTATTTAGTGTGTGTTTGCTCTACTGGGGAAGCAGGAGACTGCATGTCACTAACTTGGCCTCTTCTCCAGAGCCTTTGTGCTCCACTGTCTCGCAGGTTAACTTCTATCACAGTGGTGCCTGGATAGTGTGACGTGTGAGGTTGTGCTGCTGCTGTGGTGTCAAATACCTCCTGCTGATTCTGTTATCATTAGTCATTAGTCAACTCATCTTGAAGTGCCTGGGCTGTCACCTAACTGCATGCAGTCATTAATTAGCATAACAATGGCTTCACTCTGACAGACACAAGCCTGTGTGTGTGTCTGTGTATGTGTGTGTGTGTGTGTCTCTGTGTCTGTGTCTGTCTGTGTCATACTTCTACTGTTATTATACACATATGATTATTGTCACATCTGTATACTATCAGATATTAATATATACTTTGAACATGTTGTACCACAATAGCCAGAATTATACTTATAATATTATTACTTTCATTAATGTTGTAAGCTACTGTCATTACCGTCTGTCCTGCATCTCTCTCTGTCTCCCCTTCTGTCTCATTGGGGACTGAGGACAGAGGGATGTTGTATGCTGTAAAGCCCTGTGAGGCAAATTGTGATTTGTGATATTGATTGATTGATTTTTTTTTTGGAATATTTTATTTTAATTTTTTTAACTTTTTTTTTTTTTTGACATTGTTACATGAAGTAATTGAAGTAATAAAAAGAAAGACAGAGGCTATATGAGGATATATATAGCAACCAAAGTAGTCCTGTGCTTCCTGTCTCGTGATACCGTCAGGGGTATGAATAAAAAACAAAACAAAATAAAAAACAAACACACACTCAAAAAAGAAAAAAAAAAAAGAAAAAAAAAGAAGAAAACCCAGAGAGGAGGATCAAAACCTTAGACGGTACAGAAAAAAAAAAAATTTTTTTTTTTTACAAACACACAGCAGCCTGATTAATACATTAGTCATTTAGGTCTCATCAAGTAAAGCCAAAAATGGTTTCCACGCTTTCTCATAAGAATTTGGTGCCTTCCCTCTGCTAAGGCGAATCTGTTCCATCCTAGAAACACAAACCATTTCGTTGAGACACCTCTTAAAGCAAGGGGATGATGGAGACTTCCAGTTGAGTGAAATCAATTTCTTGGCTGCTACCATGCCTGTTTTGAGAGCCTGCTCACAGTGGGAAGGGAGGGTCGATGTCCTTTCAAAGGAGCCAAAGATTGCCAGGTTACAGTCTGGTTGAATGTTTATTTTATATTGCTTAGAAAACCAGTTAAATATGTCACTCCAAAAGTTGTCCAGTACTGGGCAGTGCCAGAATAAATGTGAGAGTGAACCTTCGGCTCTGCCACATCTATCACACATGGGAGACACTGATTCAAATATTCTATTAAGTTTAGTTTTGGAATAATGCAGTCTATGTGTGACTTCAAATTGAATTAACCGATATCTAGAGTTTATAGAGCACTTCTGTATACTGGACAGGCCCTCCTCCCATAATTCATCTGACAGTGGAACTCCCAATTCTTTTGCCCATGCCTCCCTGAGGTGACTGGTACTCGCTGGTGTCTCAAAAGCAGTGATAAAGCAAATGTTTGGAGTTTGGTTGTAAGAGAAATGTATCATAAAAATTATAATTGTGTGGTCTTATTGGGAAATCAGAAATGTGTTCCCTTACAAAATGTCTCACCTGTAAATATCGATAAAAATGTGACTGAGGAAGGTGATATCTAGCCTGGAGCAGAGGGAAAGAAGCAAAATTGTTATCTATGTAAAAATCTGAAATGCAACTTAGGCCCCTCTCCCTCCAGTCCAAAAAAACCCCATCCGTCAGTCCTGGTTTGAACAAGTGATTGCCTGTTATTGGGGCATTTACCAAAACATTTGGTAATCCAAGGAATTTTCTCATTTGATTCAATATCTTCAAAGAATTACTAAGAACGAAATTGTAGCCAAATAACTTGTCAGACAGTTGTACATTTGAAAAGAGCAACGCTGGGAGCAAGGTTAGTGACACAGACATGGATTCAATCTTTAGCCAGAGTGGAGAGGAACAGTCATCCTAAGGAGGGCCCCACTGCCAGAAAATGAGAGCCCTCGCATTTGCAGCCCAGTAATAATGCCTAAAAACAGGGAGGCCGAGACCCCCACTTTTTAAATTCTTCTGCAGATGGGCTTTAGAAATGCGAGGGGGTTTATCTGCCCAGACAAATGACAGGACAACTGAGTCCAGTTGTTTAAAGAAAGATAATGGCAAATAAATAGGGAGGTTTTGAAAAAGATACAGGAAGCTGGGAAGTGCAACCATTTTAACGGCATTGATATGGCCAATCATTGAGAGAGGGAGCAGCTTCCAGTTCCTAATATTAGATTTTAGTTTATCCACCATATCCAAAAAATTCAATTTCAGTAAAAGTTTGGGGTTTCTGGAGATCTCAAGGCCACGATAATTAATATGGGTAGTAACTAATTTAAATGGTGAAGATTTCAAGAAAGTAGGACACATATTTGTCAATGGCATGAATTCACATTTGTCCCAGTTAATTGTATACCCAGACAATTTACTAAATGATTTTATATAATTCAGGAGGGTGGGAACTGACACCACTGGGTCTGATAAACAGATCAATAAATCATCAGCATACAGATTAACAAGGCTTTCAACATTACCAAACTTTACCCCATGAATACCTGGGTGACCCCTTATACCTATTGCAAGTGGTTCCAAAGTAATATCAAAAAGAAGAGGAGAAAGAGGGTCGCCCTGCCTTACACCCTGCTGCAACTCAAAAGGTTGGGATCTATCCGAATTAGTGAGAATAGAGGATACTGGTTTAAGATAAATTATTTTCACCCATTCAATTAAATTTTCCCCAAATCCAAATTGTTTTAGTGTCTTCAGCATGTAAGGCCATTTGATCTGATCGAATGCCTTCTGGGCGTCAAGAGATAAAACAGCAGCCTGTGTATTTTTCCCATGCACTGAGTATATTGTATTTAAAAGCAAACGGACATTACTAAAAGAAAACCGACCCGTCCAGTCTGATTAGGGTGTACAATCGTGGAAATATGCCTACCTAATTTTGTAGCCAAGACTTTAGTTATTATTTTCAGATCACAGTTTAAGAGAGCAACAGGTCGGTAACTTGCAGGATCAAACTCTTCCCTTCCTACTTTCAAAAGCAAGGAGATATTTGCTTCATATAATGAACTGGGGAGCGTCTTATTTCTCATAGAATCGTTCACCATTCTCAGCATGAGCGGAACTATTTTGTCAAGAAATGATTTATAAAATTCACAGCCAAAGCCATCTGGACCGGATGTTTTTCCAGAGGGGAAGGCTCGAATAGCACTCAAAAGGTCAGTTTTAGAGATTGGGTCATCCATATCATCTCTCGCTGCACTATCTAATTGGGGAACATTTAAATTGGCAAAAAAGTTACAGAAATCTGCTTCAGTGGCCTTTACTAGAATACAGTTCCTTATAGAAGTCCCTGAAGCAAGCATTTATCTCTCTCGGATTGGTTAGGAGTCTGCCTGATTTGGATTTTATCCTGTGAATGGCCTGTTTAGCCCTTTCACCTCTAAGCTGGCTAGCTAACAGTTTCTCTGGTTTATCTCCAAGTTCAAAATATTTCTGTTTAATTTTGAATAGAAGACTACCAACACGTTTATTAAGAACGGTATTATATTGATTGATTGATTGATTGATTGATGTCTTCGTCAGTAGTTTGGTTTTCAGAAGCCATCAAAGTTCTACTCCCAAGTCATGGGTTTATTGCCAAAAATGACCTTGCGTTCTGTTGACACTGCTTGTTTTATCGACATTTTGACTCCTACGAATAGGCTAATTCACACTGTCTACGTGAGCTGGAGGCCGACAGCGAGGGTCCGAGGTCCCGCCCAATGCTGCTTGCAGCTTTAATATGTATTAATGTTCATTAGGGGTTCAAGCAGAGCCCTATTGTTCTTGTTCTTTGCTAAAAGTGTTCATGCAGCAAAAAAGTCCTGCAAATTCCACCTACGTCTCAGGCACATAAAATGATACTCATTGACCTCAAGGTGGCACTGTAATGATCAAATTTACTTTTTTGCAATTATTGTGAACAACAGTTTGGTCTAATCAAAATTCTTTCATCATGTAAATCTCTCAGTTCATCTGCATCTTTGCTCAAATGGTCTCCTCAAAAAAATCTAGTTTTATGACTTTTTTCCTCAATATTATCAAAATCCTGTTTTCGAAAACTCGTCAGAAACCTTTGGGCCAATTATCGTGAAAATTTGCCATGATCATCTACAGACTTCGGTGATCTTAATTTATCAAGGAAATTTACATGTCAATCAGTAATAACTTATACATTTTCAGACTTGACTTTAAGGTCAATTTTACATAAATACTGATAAATCATAATTGGCTTAAATGTCCAGTGTGTTGCACTTAGGGGGATATATCAGCATAAATGGAATATAATATAAGTGTGTTGTCTTTATTCTCTAATCACCTGAAAATAATAATCTTTGTGTTTTGGTTACCTTAAAATGAGACGTTTATATCTACACAGGGAGCAGCTCATAGTTTATGGAGATCACCATGATGCACCACCATGTTTCTACAGTAGTCCTGAATGGACAAACCAAACACTGGCTCTAGAGAGGGACATTTGCATTTTTGCATTGGCCATTGTAGCAAGCAGCCATTATGTGATGTGCTGTGTTGGAAAAACACTGTTTTAAAGTGCTTTACTCAGTGTTTTGTTCGGAAAGGAAGACACCTGTGTGAATAATTAGGCTCACAGTAAAAACTTTCTGAACAATGAACACTGGAGGAATTCTAACTGGGAGAAGTTTTAGCTGGTTGCAATCTGCAATCGTCAACAATAGATACCACCAAATCCCCCTAAATCTGACACATTGGACCTTTAAGTGACAGTAACCAAACTTGGTGCACATGTTTGGATGCTAGGTCTGAGCTTGGCTGCGCAGTCTTGGCATATTCTGCCACTAGGGGGCATCACAAATTCAGTCCTAGAGTCATGCTTCTGGCAATGCATAAAATTTGGTAATGAGTGCTTAAAGTGGGCGTGGCTTATGACAACAAATCTAATTTCTAAACATTTTACATTCCGAACTCAAAAACAAACAAAAAAAATAAAATCAAACTAAATCACCAGTTTGTCCTACAAAGCTTAAATTTTTCTGCACATCCACTGAATTGTGTCAGTAGTTTGCCTCATTGTAACCTGCGGTCAATTCAGAGGTCTGTCACTATATTTTTCATACATACAGGGGCATGGGTGTCAAGCTGCTCATCTTTGTTCCGGAGCATCACATGACCATCACAACACACAGAACTGAAATGCATATTGCAGCAAAAATTGGTTAAAACCTTGATGTATATGATTTTCAGCTCTCTGCTGACATTTTGAAAGGTCCAAGTTAAGGAAGTGCTAAAACTAATTCAGGGAGTCTCTTTAAACTGCTCTGTAAATATCACTGAATGAGGTCATCTTTTTTATAATAATGAAGATAGATCTCCTGTACCTCCAGTTTAGACTAGCTGCAGATTTTTCTCCTGTGTGGAAACACTCAGATTCCAGCCTGATATACTGCTATAGGCATTCACTGGTGTTTCACCTCTTGGTGTTTATTGGTTATTGGCTTTATCCCATGGATGGAGGTAAAGTGTTCTTCTCTAGCATCTGTAGAGTCTGCCGGACGCCCTTCTCCACCCTCCGAAAGTGCAGCCTTTTCCAGAGGCTCTGCTGCTGCTGACGCCCCCACTCCAGATCCCTAAGGAAAACCTGCAAACAGAAAGACTAGGTGACACACACCCAACAATTCACCTGATGTAAAAATATTTTCACATCCAAAACTCTCATACTTCTTTTTGCTTTTAAATGAATGATTAATGGAACACTTTGTGATGTTTTTTTGATACTTTATCATTATTTATTATATTTATTATTATATTATTATTTATTATTATTTATTATATTTAGCCATGTAATTTGAGTTGATGTATGCTTGTGTAACTTAGGGCGCTTTTCCACTGGTAATTTGGTTCATCGGTTCAACCAAAAAAAGTAAAAACGATGTTACAGACATTGACAAGTCACTCAGCGATTGGACAGTTATGGTGATTTTTTTATTCTGCATCATCAGTGCATCGTCAGAACCCATGTAGTTACTGACAGAAATTTATGCATCACTTTAATGCTTCAGATGTATACATTTATATTCTTTGGTGAAAGAGCTCAGGAAGAAATATGCCGAACTAAGTGTAAGCATTATTAGTGGGCCTATTATTGGACTGCAAATCAAATGCATGTTGTAAATAATGACTACCGGGTAAAGACAGTAATGATTCAGGGCTTATTCCTGTGGGATCACTGTCACACACTTGTTAACAGACTAAATTAACTGACAAAGTACACAGAGGTAGATACAGGCACCGCAGTTTTAATGCTTATAAATCAGGGAAAATACCGGCACTGATAGCAATTATGCTACCATGGTTACCAAATGCATAAATAGGCTTTATACATAATACAGATCAATTTTATAATCAGCGGATGGTTTTATTAGTTGTTTAACTTTTGAAATTATGCTAAAATCACATATCTGCATATCCTGTGGCTGGTTCATTTGCTTCCAGGATACAAACAAACCACACCAGAGTCTACGTGGAAACCGACCAAGATCCACCTTTTCAGGTGGTCTCAGTACTGTTGTTTGGTTTGCACCAGGGTTTAATTTGCAGCCCAAACAAACCAGACTAACCGGGCAAATGGAAATGAGTTTGTTTAAACCGAACCAAACAGGTTAGGTGTGAAAGCTCCCTTAGTGTGTCACACTGAGTGTGTTTTGGGCTTTCCTCTCTCTGCCATTCTGAGTTTTTTTTCTTATTAGCCCACGTAGTCTATTGTACCTTAAGCTGCTGCTTGACACGTTCACGGTCCCAGGATGAGGCATTCTCCCGTATCACACTGAGGATGGGGTGCCAGTCCTCTGAGATGTCTGAGCCCTCAGTGACTGAAGCCAGGACCTTAACCCGCCGACCGCTGTGGCTCTTGGGTACACCTCGGACATACAGGGACTGCTTTCCCACATCACTGAGAGGGTTCAGATACAAGCTACAGAGAGACACAGGACACTACATCAACAAAGAAACCTAGTAAGAATGGATTACATGTGAAACAGCTAGCAGACTGTATACTGAGTTTCTCTTCAGTATTCATATTCAGTGCCCCTGTGTTGGTTTGCCATTGTTAATTGTGAGTAAATGTGAGTCTTAAGAGGAGATTTAAAAGAAGACACTGAGAGACACATATTTATTTTTATACTCTAGCTGTGCAGTGCTCTTGTCATGTTTTGGTGAAGCTATTGTAATATGCATTGTGGCTGCTGTAACATTTATTATGGCTTATAACACATAGGGTCCTTCTTGTTTCTGTTGTAACTAGTGCTTTGATAGAGCTATTGAAATGTGCAGTGCTCTTTTCATGTTTTGGTGAAGCTATTGTAATATGCATTGTGGTTGGTGTAAGATTTATGTTTCTGTTGTCATAATTTGGTTGTGCTGTATTCTGTCCAAGAGGGGGCGCCTATGGTTAATGGTGGAAGTAGGCTAAGCCTTTAGGATGAAGTTGTGTGGTGTTTGATTTCAGATTTTCGTGTTTGGGTAGACATACAGCTAGTATTATTAACTGAGGTTATTAGTCTGTCCTTTGAACGTGCCTGAATTTATGGGGGTTCTGCTGCTGCCTTATTATCTTGTGTGTTGTCCATTGTTATCTACTGTACCAGTGCAATTGCAGTGAGTTGATTGCGTGTAGGGCTGCACGGTATATGCGGTAGACGGTAGAAATGACATAAATTTGGCCCACGATAGAGATTTGCGCTCTACCGTCCTATCGTCGATGACGTCATCGCACCTACCTCAGTGTGAAAATGGCTGCGAGCACAGAGACAGCGGAGCAAGAGGAGCTGGTTCACGTCCGTGATTTAGCGTAGCACGTGCAACATGTGTTGCTGGAGAACTTGTGAGTGAGTGAGTTAATGTCTTATGAACAGCCCCGGACTTCTCAGACTCTTTTAGCGACTTACCGCTCAGAGGGAACTCATTCAGTGTCTCCTCTGGCAGCAGCACAGCGTCTCTCCCTCTCCTCTCTCGCTGTGCGCACACGGGAGTTGGTTTTCGGCAAGAGAGTTTGTCATAAACCTTTGGTAATGTAAACCTATGTGACGCTAGGGGCTCCACAAAAAACTCCATATGTGAGTGTGTGATAGTTGTGGTATCATAGCAGCCTGTCACAGGTTACAGTGTGATGATTAGAGGAGAAATGGCAGAGCATAAAGGTTCAGGTGGAAAAAACACAACTCAGTCATTTAGGATTTTGCTAAAAGAAGGAAATTACCTTTTGATATAGATCCCAGGGGACATTTTGCACCATAGAGTACTGGGTTTTAATTTTGAGTTTTGAGATCTGCATTCTGCACAATAAATGCTCTAAAAATACATTATATCTTTGCTTTTGTTTTTTTTTTTTTTATTAGCACAAGGCTCTTTCTCAAACCTCCTCCCTAGTCTGGGGCCGTTTAGTGGCCGTTTTGGTAAGGAACCGGAACGAGGGCGAGAGAGACAGGATCCGGAATTTGATGGATGCGCCTTTCCGTCAAAATAAAAGCACCAAGCTAATAAAAATGCGGTGAAACTGGGCAAGAATATAATTTACAAGAAAAGCCCCAAGCCATTAAGTTAACCTTTTTCTTTTATTGTAAATCGATGGTGTGCCAGAATTTAAAGTTTTACTTGGGTGAACACTTTTACTGGTGAATTTGGTGAATTCCGGATCCGCTCTCTAGACCGGAACCAGAATCCAGACAAAATTCAGAGTTTTGTTGTTTTTTTTTTCCCCCACAATATTTTATTTGCAAATATGAGGTTTAACAAACATATGGCAGAAAATCACTGAACACTGAACAGACCAGGGGTACTAGAGTTCACTGCCAGACCTTTCAAAACTCAAATTAAATGCAGTCTTTAACAGGTTGAGTGTCTTTGCAGCTTTGTTGTTGTTAACACATTCAAGTGTTGTGCCGAACTGCTGGAGTTCAACAATGAAACGACGAAAGCAGGGTTTAGAGCCAGACCATTTTGATTTGTGTATATGAAACTTCCCAAGAATTAGAAGTTGTATTATGTAGGCAGTGTTGTTGTCCATCCTACTGAAAATAAAATATAGCATCACATCAAACACAGTAAGATTTACAGTAGTATTCATTTTCTCATTTACAAAGTCTTGCATATCATTCCAAAACTTCTTTGAATGGTGACAATGATGAAACAGATGAAATATTGTTTATTTGTCAACATTACAGAAAGTACAAGAATAGTCTATGTTTAACTTAAATCTCTCCAAGACCTCCTTAGCGGGATAAATTCAGTGTAACACTTCGTAAGATACTTCTTTCACTTTATTACTAATGCAATATTTATTTAAAACATTACAGGCTTTTTTCCCACTGTAAATTGCTCATGATAGACGACCAGAAGACTTTCGCTGCAGGGGCTACAGTATAGTTCAATGCGTTTCTAATGTGTCTGTTACTGCAAGGTTTATCTTGAATATTGATATCTCCAATAAAAGTCTGCCTAGAACTAAATGTTAGGTTACAGTTCTTTAAAAACAGAAGTGAACCGGCAGGAATTGCATTGAAGATAATGGCATATTCTTTAGGTGTGATTGTTATCTTGAATTTCTGAATAAATTCTGAATATGACATTAACACACCATTCTTATTTAATAACTGGCATACAAGCAAAATTTCATTGTCATACCATGAGCGATAAAACAGGGATTTTCTTTTGTGTAGAATATCCTTGTTATTCTAAATATAGTACCGATGAGGACTGAAGTTGTGCTTATAAACTAATAACCACTGTTACGTCTCCCTTGATGGCAAGGTAGAAAGGAGACATCAACACGACAATCAAAAAATAAGATGGAGTCAGAGCGGGTGTATACACAAAGAAAATGGTTTATTGGATAATTAAATCTACTAACAAAAGATCACAATTGTGGAGGAGGGTGGGACAAGGTGGTTGTGCCAAATAAACAGAAAGAGTTACAATAAAACTGGACCTAAACTGAGTCTGAACTTTAAACAAAACTCAAACAAAAACCTGACTCTCTTATCTATAAAAGAAGCTTAACCAAAATAAATACAGAGGTGGCACCAACCCTGCATCCAAGTTCACTCAACATGTGCAGCAGCTCTAGCAGGCAGAGGAGAAGAGAGTGATCACTGCAGGCATGGTCCTTTTATGCAAGAGCTCTGGATGTGATTGGCCAGTCTGCAACTCCCCACACTCTACAGGTGCAGGCCAATCAGGTTGATGGCACCTGGAGAGCAGAGAGGAGGAGAGAGAGAGAGAAGACCAGGAGGGAAAAACACACACACAAACACAACTGCACTTGGCCCCTGCCTGGCATGTAACAACCGCGCTAAGAGAGCTTGTTTGTGAAAATTAGCTAAACTAACTGGGATTTTATCAATGGGGAAATTGCATTTTAATAAAAAATCAATGCCACCAATCGAATTAAATAAATATGATGGGAAAGCATACCATATACTGTCAGGATTCTTTAGGAATTTAATAAGCCATTTAACTTTAAATGTATTATTTAATAAACTAAAGTCCAAGACCTCAAGACCACCTTGTTCCCTACTACGTTTGATTGTTTCTTTTCTGAGATAATGGGTTTTTTCCTCCAAATGTAGTATCTTATCCAGTTGTTTAATAACATTTGTTGGGACATTAAGTGATAATGATACATAGACAGATCTAGATATACCTTCTGTTTTTGATAGCAAGACCCTTCCAAATGAGGATATATCTCTCATTAACCATGAGTTCAATTTTAATTTTGTTTTTTCAATAATGGGATCAAAATTGGCTTTACTTCACTGTTCCGCATCATTGCAGATAACAACCCCTAGGTAGGTTACCTTTTCTTTAATTGGAATCCCATAACAGCTTGACAAATTACAACTTTTAATTGGAAATAAGACAGATTTATCCAAGTTAATCTTTAAACCAGAAACATCAGAAAATGCATTTATACAAGCCACAGCTTCTACAATTTGATTCTGATCTTTAAGAAAAATTGCAGTATCATCTGCCAGTTGACATAATTTGAAGTTCTTGCCTACTGCATTTATACCCATAAAGGCTGATTTTTTTTTAATCTGAGTGGCCATTGGTTACTAATATAAACAAAAAAAAGGAGATACTGGACAACCCTGTCTAATACCACGATGAATGTCAAACTGACTTGATGTGCCACATTTCAGTTTTACAGAGCTGGAAGAGTTCTTACATAGAGTTTGAATTGCATTACAGAAATATTCTCCAAAGCCAAAAAAAGAGATGGCTTTGTAGAAATCATAAATAAGATTTAACTGTCATCTGGTATTAAATCACGATAATCTATCATATCCAGTATTAGTCGAATGTTTTGCTAATATGTCTTTTTTGTATAAAACCAGATTGCTCTATATCTATTATTTGATCTAATCCATGTTTTAACCTCCTAGCAAAAATTAAAGCAAATAATTTTGCATCATTGTTCAGCAGACTGATAGGCCTCCAATTTGCTATGTGTAATCTGTCTTTTTTTGGTTTGGGAATTAATGTGATTACTCCTTGCCTTAATGTAGGAGGGAGCTTTAAACATGGCTAGTAGGAAAGGAGCAAGTTTAAGATTGAAAGTCTTATAAAATTCCCCTGTCAAACCGTCACTACCAGGAGATTTGTTTTCTTTAAGGGATTTAATACATTCATTAATTTCAGCCAACGATATCTCCTCTTCAGATGAGACTCTAAGATCATCATTTATTTTTCTTGAATCTGCTGAAATATTGTCTAAAAATGGTTCAATATGGGAGGGTGTAAAGGTTGAAGAATATAAATTTTGATAAAGCTGAGCTACATGTTGAGAGATTTTAGGATCAATGGATTGTGCCATTGATAATCAATTTACTTACTGCTGCAAATTCTGCATTTCTAAAAATATCTAGTATTTTTCTTACCTTGCTCAAGCCATTTGCATCTTGATCTAATAAAAGC